ATTTTCGGGTTTCCGCTCGTTCCGAATCGTGCTCCCACTGAAGCGCTGGCCTCATTCCCACACTTCCGCTCGTTCCGAATCGTGCTCCCGCTGCAGCGCTTGCGTCGTTATTTCCAATGCCATGTCACGGCATGCAACGCAATGCAATGCTATGTAGCGTCCGGGCACTAAGGCACATGAGCGTTACGGGAGGTACAAGGTGGCGTCGACGATAGACGAGGCCAGCCAGTTCGGTGCCACATTCCAGGATTTGAGCGGGAATTTTGAGAAAGGGTATCTCACGATTTTGGATCAATCCGCCGATCGAGCATCAACATCGAAACGCGGTGCCGTCGAGGGGACCCCAGATCGAGAAGGCAATGCAAGATCAAAAGTTCCTGGCCGTGATATTGCCCCGGAATTTTCGAACACCCTCATGACTGAGAAGATCGAGCGTGTCGAGATGAGCCCGGCTACCATCGCAGCACTGCGAGGTATGATCAATGAGGGGATCCGAGAAGGGAATCGGAATGCAGAGGTGCAGCGGGTGATAGCGGCGAAGATGGAGGAGGCCATCGCGCCGTTGAAGGAGGCATTGGAGAAGGAGCGCGAGGAACGCAAAAAACTCGAGCATCGCAATGGCATCCTTGAGGACGTTATCAAAGCCAAACGTGGAGGAGGAGGAGGACGTCAGGTGGACTCCGATGTCGACAAATCAGTGGTCGTAGTTGGGGGGTTCGGGGAGATGGAGGCGGACGCAGCAGAGAAGTTCGTCGAAACTGCTTTCGAGGACGTCAGCGGTGTGGAGGAGGTGTTCGTCACGATCCTAAGCCTGTGGTGGCCTTCGTCCGTTTTGATTCGGACACGGCGGCCATGAAGTTCTTGCGCAAACAGCGCAGGTACCATAGGGTCAAAGATGTTCACCTTTGGGCTTCAGAGAACGGGTCGATTGAGGAGAGGCGGCGCGTGAAGATCCTCAGTGATATCAAGAAGTTTGCCATCGAATACGAGGACTACGAGGCGAAAAACATCATCGTGAAGACGTTCAAAGTGCACGCGCGGGTTGGCAGGAAACTGGTGCACCTGGCGGATGTCATCGACGATGCGTCCGCGTTGTGGGCGGAGGGCGAGCACGCAGCAGGGGATATCTTGAAGGGGGCAGTTGAGGAGGTCGTGGAGGAACTGTCTTTTTAGGGACTGTGTCAAGGCAGGCGCGGCCAAAGCAGCCAGAGCGGGGACACCGAAGACAGGAACAATGATATGCACTACGAATTCACCACGATACGAATGTTGACGAAAGATCTGCAGAACATCCGGGAAGAGCAGCGTTTTGTTGATTGTCTACAGGGGCTCGAATACGTACAGGACGATATCATGTTTTTCTCTGAGACCTGGTGCAAAGATCGAGAGGAAGTTATTTCAATGGCAGTTGGGGGTGCGCTGTATTTCAGTGGGGGCGCCATGCACAAAGGTGTTGGTATTGGCGTTTCAGCGAGAGTTGGAGCACTCATGTCAGATGTAGGCGTACTCTGCGAGATTGTGTCTTGGGGTTATCAGCTGCATGGCAAACTACTCAGGGCAATCGCGTGCTATTTTCCGACGTCTTGGGGTTGCGACGCCAACGTGGTGGAGGTTTACGACTTGTTGTCGCTGCTGATTCTGGATTGCGATGCGCACGGGCGGATCCCGTGTATCGGAGGCGATTTCAACGCATCCGTTGGCGCTCAAGCTGTTTTTGACGATGTTGAGTATCTGGGGATTTGTGGAGAAGGGCAATGGAACGAACGCGGAGGTTGGTGCAATTTGCTCTGGAGCACGGGCTGCGCATTTTGAGCCGGCAAGCGGCGGCAGGAGGGGAAAATGGTTGGACGTGCAAGTGCAGCTCTGATCCGAACTCTGGTGCGCATCGGTTTTATGTTGGCAAGTTGTCGAATTCATTGCCGCCGTATTTGGTGCGACGCTTGTTTTGGAGTTGGTCTTGGCCATCGCTGCGTTCGCAGCGTTGCTCGCATGAAGGTAAATCGCAAAGGCGCCCGCCACATAAGCAGAAGTCGTTTAAGAGATGGGGGCCGCGTTCGGACGAGAACAGGGGGTCGCAAGGATTTCGGGGCCATTCCAGAACGTGGATTTCACAGCGTGGGGGAACAGCGTCGTTCCAAGACGTGCGATCAGTTTTACTGCAGGCGGCAGAGAAAGTTGGACGCAGCAAACAAGAATATTCGTTTCAAGTCGAGTGCCACCTTACAGACATTGCGAGCTCCAGGGAGGACCGCCGCCGCCGAGGCTGATCGCAAACGGCTCAGCTTCGACGCGTGCTGTCTACAAAGACAGGAAATAAGATCGCGGAAGTCTGTTCAATTTTGGAAGATTTATTGAATGACTCGAAGCATTGGCGCGAGATCAAGGCCTTGCTGGACAACATCGCGGGGGAGAGCCGAGTGCAATAACCACCGGGAGACAAATCTGTACATTTTCTCGGAGGCTTATTTTCCCGGGCGCCGCCTGCGCCGGAGAAGCCGCGAGTTCTCGCGGAGGTGCTTTTTGTGATGGAAGGAATGGAGTTTGCGATCAGAAGAATGAAGACGAACCGAGCGTCGGGCGACGCTGGTCTGGCATCAGAGCTTCCGCGCGCCGCCTCGGTTGCTTTCAGGGCATTTTTAGTAATGCTGCACAGCCAAGTCTTATCGGAAGGCTTCCCCCGGAGAGCTGGCGACGAACTCTCCTCCAAATTCCTCCGAAGAGCTCAGTGGCTGCGAGCGTGGCCGATTATAGACCCATCGCCACCGCGAGGATGTTGTACAAGTTGTTTGCACGCTATATATATATATATATTTGGAATACACGACGGGCCAGCATCGGCCTGGAGACAACGCGCGTTCCGGGCCGATTACCACATCGAAGAACGCCGTCTGGCAGCGAACGTGTTCATTGACAAGACACGGTCGGTGGGGATTCCCGTTTGGATTGTCAGTTTGGACTTATTGAAGGCTTCTGATCGCGTTGGTCGTATCATGCCTTATAATTTTTACGCGAACACGGGGTATCATATCATCTCGCCTGGATATTACATATTGTATGACAACCAGACCGGGCAGGTTAAAGGGGGTTCTCAACGCAGTCAGCCCCTCGACATCTTAGCTGGAGTCCGACAGGGGTGCGTTCTCAGCCCGCGCTTGTTTTGTTGCTTGCTGGGATGGGCCATGGCGCGGTGGCGGCAGAAGTCCAGGACTGCAGGGTTTGATCTTCGAGATGGGCCACGTCGTCTGTTAAATTTGCGTTTTGCGGGCGATGTGGCGTTCTTTGCGAAATCGCAAAGAGAGGGCTGCAATCTTGCTCTCGTCGCTTGTGGATGAGTTCGCAGCGGCGAGACGTTGGCGATTGCAGCCGAAGCCCGACCACCACAACGATTACTGCTTCCTTCCGGTTCGGCTATAAAGTGTGTGGCTGCCCACAAATGGTTGGGGTGCATATTGTCGACAGACATGATACAGCACGATTTTGGGATGCCACCGTCAAGCTGCTACCGAGGCCTTCTACGCACATTGATGCATACTGACGGATAGGCACGTCCACGTTGCAGCTCGTTTGAATTTTTTCGATGCCGTTGTCAGTCCGATGGCCAGACTCGTTTCTGCGTTCCGCGTTACCTACGCATCCGACAGGAGGAAATTTGATACTGCTTGCCGGAAACTGCCCAGACAAATCGTCGGGCCGCCGGGTGGAATAGATTGGGCGAGGCCGTGGCAGGAGATTTTACATGATTTGCATGAACGTGTATGCGATAAATTAGAAGACATGCAGAACAACTTGTGGTCTGATGTATTATACCGCCAATATTGGAGTTTCGCTGGGTATGTCGCACATATTCCTGCAGATCGTTGGCTATCACGCGTTCTGAATTGGTCCTCTCTGGGGAGGAAGTCCCAAGGGCGACCGCGAAAATCTTGGGAATCCGATGCGCAATCCCTCTGTAAGACATTCAGGATCTGCAACTGGAGAGATGCGGCCAAAGATGCACGCGTCTGGGCGCGCATGGCAGGAGATTTCTTGGATTACGTGAGTGCTTAGCTTTGTGCCCGGGCTCCCCCCCCTCCTCCTCTTCCTCCTCCTCCTCCTCCTCCTCCCCTCTCTCCGTTTCATATGATCGATGTTTTTGTTTGCGCATAGCCAGCTGTGCATCCTAATGCTTGAGGCCCGCAGGCCGCTCCCACTGGGGCTGGCGCGCAAGCTGTAATTGTAACTGTTCCCCGCCTGCGCCCCCAGTGGCCGCCTTTCGCGGGCGTGCAGGCCTGACCTGACCTGACCTGCTATGTAGCGTTCCGCTGTGCGGTGCCATGCCTTCAGCTGCAATGTTGGGATATGCAGTGTTTAACTACGCAGTGCCACGCCATGATATGCCATGCTACGCTTTGATCTTCAACGCCATGCTATGCCATGTTCTGGTCACGCCACGCTATGACATACTACGCTCAACCGTGCTCTCCTTCGCCCTGCCATGCCGTGCTTTAGGTCGCATCGCGCGCCCTCTCAGGACCATTGCCCTGCTCGGCATCCGAGTGTGCGAATCGAGAGGGAATCTACGCCATGATAGGCAATGGGAGGAGACGTATGACGTCATATAGGACGCGAGCGCACCTACCTAGCCCCTCTCCCCCATCCCACTCTCCCCTCTCGTCTCGCCCCTTCTCCCCATCGCCCCTCTTCTCTCGACCCTCTCCTCCCGCTCTCTTCACAGTTACTCAAGTACTCTCCCAGAAGATATTCGGCCCCCCTCCGCGCACGGTTTTTTACACGCGATTTTTGTGTGTATATATATATATATGTATTTGTATGTATGTATGCATGTATGTATGTATGTATGTATGTATGTATGCATGTATGTGTATATATATATACATAACGCTTGCGGTAGATAAGTCGGGGGTGGGAGATCCGGGGTGCGGAGAAGGCATGGCCGTTCAGAGATTGCATGGCAGTCGCTGTTGTGGCTCAGTCTCTTGAGGCTTGTCGCCCTGCGGGGCATGTCTGACCCTGGCTCCGGGCCACCGCCGCCCGCCTGGGAACCCATCCAGGAGGCGGTCGCCTCGCCTCCCGGGCCACCGCCAGGCTGGCCCCCGCGGCCCCCTGGGCGCTACTGCGGGTGGTGCTCGGGGCGGCTGGGGCCCAGCGAGTCGTTGGCCCTGGCCTTGAACGGCCAGCTCTGGGAGGTGTGCGAGCTGTGCTACCTCCTGGCGCTGGCGCGGCAGCGCGCCTGGCGGGCCCGGCTGGCGCCGGGCGAGCGCGCGGTGCTGCTGGAGCAGGCGCGCCACCTGGCGGTCCTCCTGGCGGCGCTGGCTGGCCTGGCGGACGAGGGCGTCCGAGATGCCGCCCAAGGCTAAGGCCAAGGCGAAGGGCGAGGCCAAGGCGGCAGCTCGGGGCCTTGGCGTCGCGCGCGGCGGAGGACGGGCCCGCGGGCGCGGCCGCGGCGGTGGCCAAGGCGCAGCTGCGGCGGGCCGCGGGCGTGGCCACGCCCAAGGGGGCGCGGGAGCCGCGGGAGGTGGCCCCGGCGCGGGACCTCCTGCGCCCCCCCCCTAGGCGCGGCTGCTCCCCCTGGCGGCGGAGGTGCTGCGCTGCTGCCTGGTGCCCCCCCGCTGGGGATCGCGGCTGGAGCGCTGCCAGGCCCGCCTGCCGCCGCGCCTGGAGGCGATGCGCCTGGGGCGCCGCCCGGCGCCGTGGCTGGGGTCGGCGCGGCCCTGGTGGGGGCCTTGGCCGCGCTTCCCGCTCCAGGAGGGGGGCCGCTGCCTGGCGCGCCGCCGGCGCCTGGGCCCCTCGCGCTGCCGGGGGCGGCTGCTGCTGGCGCTGGAGGCGGCGGCGCGGCGGCCGCTGCAGGGTCGGGGCCAGTCGGCGGAGGCGCCGTGGCGCTGGAGCGTTTGGTGGGCGGCCCTTGGATGGGCTCGCCGGCCTTGCAGCACGGGGCCTTCACAGCGGGGGCGGTGCTGGAGACGCCCGCGCACGACCCGACGGGCCAGGTGGACGGCGCGGCGCTCTTCGAGGTCGTGGAGGCGGGCGTGCCGGGCCCAGACGGGGTCTACCTCTCCGTGAACTTCCGGGGCGCCTCGCTCCCGGCCCGCGCCCTGGAGCTGGACCTGAGCTTCCCCGCCCCAGGCGCCGGGCAGCCAGGGGTCCTGCACCTCTGCGCGGGCGGCGCCGCTGCCTGCAGGGCCCCGCGGCTGGTCGGGCGCGGCGAGCGGCGCGCCGACTGGCTTCGCCTGAGGTCGGCTCGGAGCCTGGTCGAGCCTTGGGTTCGGCCGACCTTCCGACCGCCAGGCGGCGGTGGGCCCGGGGGCGGCGCCGCCGCTGCGCCCGCGCGGGGCCGCCTCGCGGGGGCTGCGGCTGGGTTTGCGGCGGCTGCGGCTGCTCTGGAGGCGGCCGGCTCGGCAGCTCGCCCGCTGGCGGTCCGCCGTCGCCGTCGCGAGCAGTCGCGAAGCGACAGCGTGGAGCGGGCTGGCGGTGACCAGTTGGGTTTTCGCGACGCCCCCTCCCGCGGCGACGCCATTCAGGCGGTGGCCGACGGGCGCCCAGGCACGCTGTACGACGAAGCGATTGCCCAGATCGCGCGTGTCATGGGCCTGTGGGGGGGGGCGGACGGGCAGAGTGTTCGCCCTCGCATCAGGGGCTACCTCCAGGCCGTGGTGTTCGGCCACCACCCGATCCACTCGGTCGGGGAGCGGGCGGTGCGCGAGCTCCAGACGCTGGCGGCAGCGATGGACCTCCTCGAGGACGGGTCGCTGGCGTCGGTCGCGGACGCGCTGATGCAGCGGTTCAAGGCGCCGGAGATGGCGCTGAACGACGGCGACTGGTACATCGCCAACGAGCTGGAGGTGGTCGAGGGGACCCGCCCGACGCTCGCCTCCCGCGACGAGCAGGAGTCAGCGCGGAGGGCGGCGATGCCGCGGCGGCGGCTGGAGGAGGTCCGCGCCAGAGGGGCAGCCCCCCGCCGCTGACCCGAGGAGGCGGCGGCTGCGGAGCCGCCCCGAGCGCCCTCGCCGGGGCGGAGCCGCGGGCGTGGGGGCGACCCCGCTCGCCGCGGTCGGCCCTTCATGGCGACGAGGCGTGGCGCTGCCCGCCCTGGAGGAGCTGCGGCGGCCGCGGGACAGGCTGCCAGCGGGCCGGGGGATCCCGCAGCCGCTCGCGAGGCCTCGAGGTCCCCCGCCCGAGCCGACGCCGGGGGGCGGCCTCCCTCGCCGCTCCCGCCAAGGGCGGCCCGCGGGGACAGCCCCCACCCTGGCGCTGCGGCGGCGCTGGGCCGCGTGGCGCTGCTGGGCGCTCCCGAAGTCCGCGTCTTCCGTCAGGGCCAGCCAGCAGCGCAGGTCGGCGGGGGGGCTCCCCAGGGGCGCGGCGGCAGCCCGAAGGGCAGGGGCGAGCGCCGCGGGCGCCGGGCGCCGAGAGGGGGGCTGCCTGGCCGCGGCAGGCCGGCGCCCTGGAAGGGCCGCGGCAAGGGCCGCTAGCACTGGGGGCTCGGGCGCGCTCAGCTGATGATGCACGTGAGGATGCGGGCCCTCTGGGCCCAGCTGGAGCTCGTGCTGACCGCATGCGCGAGCCAGGGCCGCCAACTGACTCGCTGGCAGCAGGCCAGGAGGCAGCGCGCGCGGAGGCAGTGTGGCCAGACGCGGGCGCCCCCCTGGCGGAGCTCTTCTGCAGGTGGCAGGAGAAGGCTGGGGCGGCTTCGAAGCTTCGGACTTCACCGTGGAGGAGGAGATTGACCCAGGCGACCTGGCCTCGCTGCAGGCTCGCTTGAGGGTGATCGTGATGGCTATGAATTGGGAGGCTGGCTACCGTCACCTGAAGTGGGCGGACGTCTGCGGGCTGGAGCCGAACGCAGCCCAGCGCTCGGCCCTCCTCGGGATTGCGCGGCGCATCTATTCGAGCGTTGCGCCCGAGCCCGCCATGGCCGAGACCCTCGACTGGTCCGAGAAGCTGAAGGACCGGGCCATCGCGTACGACGGCTCGGAGGTCTCCACGCCGAGCAAGATCGCGCTGGAGCAGATCGAGGGCGGCCTGCCGCCTGTGGGGGTAGCCGCCCCCATCGAGGCCGCGGACCTCGCCACGGGCTTCGTGCGGGCGGCGCTGCTGGACCCCTCCCTGGTCCTCCTGCCGCCGGCTCAGAGGCGCCCTGCGCCGACCTCGACGCGCGTCTGGGCGACGGCGCAGGAGTGGGGGCAGGTGGTGAGTGCCCTGTTTGCACGCGGGATGGTTGGCCCGATCGACGAGGACGAGATCGCGACCAGAGACGGGGTCCCCTTGATCAACGGGGCCTTCGGCGTGGCGAAGGTGCACGACGCGCCAGTCCGCTGCGGCGATGGCGAGGAGCGGCCCGTCCTTCGGCTCATCGTCAACCTGATCCCCGCGAACGCGTGCCAGCGCACCATCGCGGGGGACACCCCCGTCATGCCGACGATGGGGCAGCTGAACGGGCTGGTGCCGGCTCCAGGGGAGCAGCTGCTCTGGAGCGGGGCGGGCCGCAAGGCGTTCTTCTACGTCTTCAGGGCGCCCTCCGCCTGGTGGCCCTACATGGCGCTGGGGCCGCCAGTGCCGTGGCTGGTGGTGGGCGGCAGCGGCGACGGGCTGACCCGCATCGCGCTGAGGGTCATCGGCATGGGCTGGATGAGCGCGGTCGGGGTCACGACGCACCTCCACCGCAACATGCTGGGGCGGTCGGCCCGTGTCCCCCGCGGACTGCCGCCTGCGGCCGAGGTGGTGCGCACCCGCCGCCTGCCTGCGGAGGCCCAGGCAGACGGCATCGCGATGTGGTGCATCTACATCGACAACCTCGAGATCGCGGAGATCGTGTCGAGGGAGGAGGCCGTCAAGCTGAAGGGGACCATCCCCGAGCTGCTGAGCCGGGCGTCGGCCTGCTACGAGCAGGCTAAGTTTCCGGGATCGCCGGGGAAGGATGTCCACCGCGCCCAGCAGGTGTCCACGCTGGGGGACCTCGTGGATGGCGCGGCTGGCGTGCGGCGGCCGCCGCTGGGCTGCGTCGCGGAGCTCACGAGCCTGACGTTGTGGTTCCTAGCGAAGAAGCGCCCGAGCAGGCGCCTGGCGCAGATCCTGCTGGGGCGCTGGGTTCGCGTGCAGTGCTACCGGAGGCCGCTCGCCGCCGCCTTCGTGAATGCTTGGAAGTGGCTGGCGCCGGGCCGCTCGGGCGGGCTCGTCACTGTGGGCGTCGCCGAGGACCTGCTGATGGCGGCCGCGCTCGCACCGCTCAGCGTGGCGGACATGCGGCTGACCGTCGACCACCTCGTGACGGCGTCCGACGCCTCGGAGGCCGCGGGGGCGATCGTCTACTCCCAGGGGCTGTCGGGCATGGGCCGTGCCCTTGGGGCTAGAGGCCCGCGGGCGCTCAACCCCGCCTGCGAGGAGGGCGTCGCTCTGATCTCGGTCTTCTCTGGGATCGACGGGGCGCGCCGGGCCTTCGAGATCCTGGGCCTGGTCCCCGCCGCGCACCTGTCCTTCGAGGTTGACGCTGAGGCTGTGCGGGTGGCTCGACCAGCGTGCCCCAGCACCGTGCACCTGGGAGACGTCACGGCCGCGGATCCTGCGAATCTGGCGCGCCTCCTGCGGGGCCACGGCCGCATCACGAAGGTGATCGTGATCGGGGGCTTCCCGTGCCAGGGCTTCGCGGTGCTGAACGTGGCCCGTGAGGGTAGCGCGGACCCGAGGTCGCAGCTGGTGGGCCACATGTGGAGGCTCATCGAGGGGATGAGGTTCGAGCTGCCCGAGGCCACGGTGGACTTCCTCGGGGAGAACGTGGCGTCCATGGCGGAGGACGAGGTCCTGGCCTTGAACAAGATGTTCGGCCGGGTGCCGGTGTCCCTCGACGCCGCGGACCTGGGCTGGGTCCGCCGCCCGCGGCTGTACTGGCTGTCGTGGGACCTGCTGCCCTCCTTCGAGATGTCGGCCGAGATGAAGGCGGCGGCGGATGGTGCCCGGCCGCGGGCCTGCCGAGTGCGCCTGGTGACGGAGCTGCCGCCCGTCTCGGAGTGGCTGCCGCGCGGGGCCACCTGGCCCGGGGCCGCCGAGGACGGGCGCCTGCCGACCTTCGTGCGCTGGGCGCCTCGGAGCTCGCCTCGGCCGCGGCCTGCGGGGCTCCGCCAGTGCACGGCGAAGGAGGTGGCGCGCTGGACAGCAGCGGGCTACGCAGCCCCGCCCTACCAGTTCCGGGACTGCTTCTGCCTGCACTGGGCGGATGGGCGCAAGGGGCCGCCGCGGGCAGTGGAGCGTGAGGTGTTGATGGGGTTCAGGCGGGGCCACGCCGTGCCCTGCATGGGCAGCTCCGCCGCCGAGAGCGACCCCGAGCGCTTCGAGGCCCTGCGGCGGTCGCTCGTGGGCAACTCCTTCCGGTGCGAAGTCGTGGCCTGGCTGCTGAGCCACTGGGCGGTGCACCGCGCGCTGCTGGTGGCGGTGCCGTCCCTGCGGAGCCTCCACGAGAGCTCGAGGAGCTGGTCGACGGGCCGCAAGCTCTGGGCCGGCGACGCGGAGACGCTGCGGTGTGGGCGCGAGGCCGTGTGCGAGGAGAACCTGCACCTGCTGGAGGAGGCTGGCCGCGTGCCTGCGGCTAGTGATGGGCAGCTGGCGCGCGCTGTCTACGTCGGCCGCGGGTCGCGCCGCTGGGGGCTCGCCCCCTCCAGGTGGGGGAACCCGTGCCCCGTGGTGCCAGGGCGGCCGGCCGGCGACGCCGTGGCGCTGTTCGCGGGCTGGTTGCGCTCCCAGCCCAAGCTCCTGGACCAGCTGGGAGAGCTGGAGGGAGCTCGGCTGCAATGCCACTGCCCCTCGGGCCAGGCCTGCCACGCGGACGTCCTGCTGGCGGAGCTGGAGCAGCGCGGCAAGGGATGCACGCGGCCCTTCCTGGAGCACCGGAGGGTGGTGGCCTCGCTGGTGATGACGTGCCACCACTCGGGCACTGACCTTCGAGTCCCACGGCGAGAGATCGATGCTGGCATTTGGAAGTGGAAGGTCGCGCGCCAGCTCGCTTGGCAGGACCAAACCAAGCACATCAATGTGTTAGAGTGCGAGGCTGCGTTGATGGCCCTGCGTTGGCGGGCCCGCTCAGTCTTACGGCAGATGTGCGTCTTCCTCCACCTGCTCGACAGCATGGTGAATATCGGTGATCTTGCCAAGCGCCGATCTTCGAGCCAGCAGCTGAACAAGGTAGTGCGCGCCTTTTCCATCCTTGAGCTGGCGCTCGGATCGCGGGCTGTCTTTGCCTTCGCGTCATCGGCAAAGAACCCTGCGGATGGGTAGGCGCACTGGGTAGGCGCACTTCGCCAGAGGAGAGGCGCGCTACCCGAGCTGCTCTTGGCCGTCTGGCCGACGCGCGCGTGAACACTAGAACACGCAACAAGTACCAGCGCGCATGCCAGCAGTTCCTCGAGATTTGAGTGCTACGCGTCTCTCTTTGCCAGTCACGTGGGACAAAATGGATCTTTGCCTTCAAGATTATCTTGAGTATCTCTGGAGCATCGGTGCCTCGAAGGGGCAGGCGAACGACGCTTTGTCAGGAGTGCAGCACTTTCTGCGCTCGCGCCGCCAGTATCCTGGTGCTTGGCGCCTCCTCTCGGTGTGGTCACGCCTCGAGGTGCCGAGCCGAGCGCCTCCAATGCCTGCTCGAGTCGCCGCCGCCATGGCGGGCTGGGCGCTCGAGCACAATGGGTTCGCCCTGGCTGCCTGCGTTCTTGGAGGCTTCCACCTGTGCCTGAGAACAGGTGAGATCCTTGGGTTGAACCGGGCCCTAGTCCAGGTCGGCCCCCAAGGCCGCGGGGTCGCGAGTCTCCCCTGGACCAGAACAGCTGCCCAGAAAGGCGCCCGGGATACCGTCACTATCGACGATCCCTACATAGGGGCCTGGGTGCACCGTGCACTGATGCTGGACCCTGCCGGCAAGCTTTGGAGCGGCGCGCTCCCGTCTTTTCACGCCGCTTTTAGGCGTGCTGCTGCTGGCGTGGGCTGTCGCCGCGCCCGCCTCGCTCCGTGCAGCCTGCGTCGAGGCGGGGCCACGCGCGAATATCTATCGTCAAAGAATCTTGAGCGTGTCATGTTGCGTGGGCGATGGGGCTCCATCAGGACAGCCAAGATATATATCGAAGACGGGGCCGCCATCCTTGCCGAAATGCAGTTCAGAGGCGAAACTCAGAGATGGATCGGTCATTACTCGTCCTCCTTTGTCTCTCGGACCAGAGAGGAATTCGGCTGAATAGCCAGGGTGGGGCGGGTGGAAAGGATCGAGAGGCCTCGACTCCCTCTGATCGCTGCCCGGAACGCCGCTGCGCCGACCGTTCTTGGGTCGACCGTCTGGGTCCCTGGCCGAGCGCGATGAGGCGCGGAGAGTGGAGTCGAGGCCCCCTCAGATCCAAGTCAAAGTGCTATGGCCATGTGAAAAAAAAGGATAGGGCCCTCTGGAGGCCCCCCTATCCTGTGTGCTTCCGCAACCCCGCCTCCCCCCAACCGCACTTATAGAAACGCTTGCGGTAGATGAGTCGGGGGTG